CTTTCTAACATACTTGTTAGAAAATGAACCTCAAAGTTTTAAAGAGGCTATGTCATCAACCGAAACTTCATATTGGAAAGAAGCTATCTATGGTGAAATTGAATCCATACTACAAAATCATACTTGGGAATTAGTAGACTTCCCTCCCGATAATAAGCCTTTGGGATGTAAATGGATTTTCAAAAGGAAAATGAAAGCAGATAGATCAATTGACAAATATAAAGCAAGATTTGTCGCTAAAGGCTACAAGCAAAAAGAAGATCTTGATTATTTCGATACATATTCTCCTGTGACAAGAATCACTTCCATACATATGCTTATTGCAATAGCAGATTGAATGGTTTGGATATACATCAAATGGATGTTAAAACAGCTTTTTTGAATTCAGAATTAGATGAAGAAATTTATATGGAGCAACTTGAAGGATTTGTGACCTCAAGACAAGAAAAGAAAGTGTGTCGACTTGTTAAATCACTATATAAAGCATGCTCCTAAGAAATGACATGAAAAATTTGACACAGTTATGATGTCAAATGGTTTCAAAATTAACGAGTATGACAAATGTATTTACGTCAAGAACACTCCAAATGGATATGTCATGGTATGTTTATATGTAGATAACATGTTGATATGGGTAACAATGATACCATAATTCAAACTACAAAAAGGATGCTAACAAATAAATTTGAAATGAAGGATTTAGGTGTGGCCGATGTTATATTATGAATTAAAATTTCTAGAGTATCTGATGGTCTCATATTGTCTCAATCACACTATATTGAGAAGATTCTTGATAAATTCAAAAAATATGATATTATTCCTATGAAAATACCTATGGATGTTAGTATGCATCCTGTTTTCAATACTGGTGAGAGTAAGTCTCAATTGGAATACTCTCGTATTATTGGCAGTTTAATGTAAGTCATGAATTGCACTCGACTTGATATTGCCTATTCAATTAGTAGGCTAAGTTGATATATGAGTAATCCAAACACTAATCATTGAAAGGCTGTTGTCAGAGTTTTAGGGTATTTAAAACATACCCAAAATTTTGAATTGCACTATTCGAGATATCCAACAGTACTTGAATGATACTATGATACAAATTGGATATTAGATACTAAAGACTCCAAATCAACAAGTGGATATGCCTTTACACTTGGAGGAGCTGCAGCATCATGAAAATCTTCAAAACAGACATGTATAGTTAGATCAACAGTGAAATCTGAATTTATTGCATTAGACAAAGCCGGAGAAGAAGCCGAATGGCTACGAAACTTTCTAGAAGGTATTCCATGGTGGACAAAACATGTGCCTGCTATATATATCCATTGCAATAGTCAATCAGAAATCGATAGGGCACAAAATGCAATGTATAATTGTAAATCTCGACATATACGTCGTAGACACAATACTGTTAGACAATTGCTCTCTACTGGCATTATCTCTATAGAGTATGTGAAATCAAGAGAGAATATTGCAGATCCTCTAACTAAAAGTTAACAAGAGAGCAAGTCGAAAGTTTGTCGAAGTGGATGTGATTAAAACTAATAAAATAATCAAATGTTTCCATGGTGGCAACCCAACCTAGTTGACTGGAGATCCCAAGATCTAGGCTCAATGGGACAACCGAACTGTGAAAAACTTAGTATGCACTGGGAAGATTTTACTCCTACCTTCCTATGATGAGCCAGTGTCCAGCTGCCGTGAAATAGGTTAAGATACGCTTTTAATGATTTCTATATCTTGATTCGTTCAAGTGGAATATAGCAGAATACTCTTTATGGAAATCACTTATGTGAGTGAGATGGGGCCGCTTCTAAGAGAATTAGGTGAAGATGAATTCTCTAAAAACCACTTATGAACCAAGAGGTGTCCAAGGCCAAAATGGACACAAATGTGAGAACTAACTGTGTTTGAAGAGAACTGTGTGACTTCTATTGTTTAGGTTTCCATGAACGGCTGACTATTCAAAGCAACTTGCTACTGATTGCCTAAGGAAATTCGATAGATTTTACTAGGAAAAGTTCAAAGTCATTGACTACTTATCCCGATGCAGTTTTCTTCAATTTTTACTTTGAAAACATATTAGATGTTATTGTTTGGAAAATGCCAACATATTTCATTCATGTGGGGGATTGTTGGAAAAATAGTTATGAAATGAGTCAACTTTGAGCCCAAATTTCAGTAGGATCCACCTTTTAATTAATACGGGACCTAGCATATTCATGTTCTACTCTGCGAGATGATTAACGTGATATATTTATTTGTCGAAAACTATTTAGAATTGAATGAAATAATAAGTGTTAAAGTAACCCACATAAAACTAAGTATTATAGAAGAATTTGATTTTCCATACACTTATCCCACATTGGAAAGTTATGAAACTTTGGTGTGATTTATAAGGTGAAAGTTAGAGAATTGGATTTGGATCCCAAGGGATACCAATAGTTTTTGGAAAGGAGAAGACCTATATCCTATTGGGTTCGGTCATAAACTCACACGCACGCGCAGCCGCCGTCCATCCGACCGGCTCGGCACGGCACGAGCACATGCCGACGTCCGAGATTGAGTCCGGTCCGGTTCGTGTTCGTGTTCGAGTGCGGGTGGACCTTTGCACTATGTTAACTTTTTGGACAAAATTTATTTAAATTTTTGGGCCAAATTGTAAATAATCAAATTCTCGGGTACATTATGTAATTTAAATTTTTTGGCTTATTCCGGGTAATTTTTTGGTCTGGATGGACTGTTTAACAGTCGTCTGTTAACCGACCAAACAGTTGACTGTTAACCGACTGTTAATCGACTTAACAGACGCGACTTTAGAACAACATGTCTGTTCCGGGTTTTTGAGGTTTGTCTGAAAGGTGACGACTGTTCGAATGACCACGAACAAGTCTATAAATAGCCCACCTCTCTGCCAGAAAATTTACACCATTTTGATTGCAAACTTTCTGTGCTTTGAATTTTATTCTCCTCTCACTCGTTCTGATATTGTTTCGAAATCAAATACAGTTCGTTGAGTTCGTTGGAACTCCTGCAGATTGTTGTGCTGCTTCCGTAGAAGACGAAATTTCGTTCAATCCTGGGACATGTTACTGAACGCCTTTAGCACCATTGAATGCAGCAAATTCGTTTTAAGAAAACATCGTAAAATTGGTGGGCTAGAATTACATTTTGGATCCTGTTGATCATTTCTTACATTCAGGTGATTCTATCGGATTGTTTTCGAATGAATAATTTCAAACTCTAAAAACAACAGAATTAGTGAGGGGTAAATCCTCGAAAACCACAATCTAGAAACCTCAAACTTGGACTTTCAAAAGAATTGCTCCAATCCAAATATTTTCGAAAAATGAAAATTCAGAGAAACCATCACTAAAAGGAGTAGATGATGATGCAGGAAATGGTGAAATGACTTGCTTGATTCTGTCGAAATTGACGAAGAGATCGAGGTTGGAGGGTCGAATGGAATATCTTCCAAGACTGCATGAAGAAGACAATGGCTTGAATGAATTTTCTCTTGACATGGACATTTGGGAACTTCTGAGCTCTTAAAACAATATAGTACATCTTTAATTCTGATTTTTTACACAAAAAAATCATTTTTAACCGTTACTTCCCTATATCAGCTGTCATTTTTTACTTCTTCTCTCTTTCTCTCTAAAGATTAAAAAATAAATTCCCATTTTGCCATGTCTATTACTTTCAAGAAACAAAAAGATGAATTTTTTGAAAGAAATATTAGACACATGAATTTAATTTGCATGTGTTCGATTTATGTATGATTGGGAATATATTAAAAGTTCTTATCTTTAAAAAAAAAAAAAAAAAAAACTTATGAAGACAGTTGGGTTTTGCTAAGAATAATATTTTTGGTAGATTTTGATTAAAAAAATAATTTAATAAAATATATAATTAAAATTGAAATTTATATATATATATATATATTTATTATTTTTGGGTCAAGAATGTTCCGATTTTTACATTTTTGGTTTGGATTAAAATCTGATCTAATCTAAATCAAAGTCAAACAATCAATATTAACCATATATTTCATGGATTCCACAATTTTTCAATCACACGTTTCAATTCCCACCAAACACCCTCTTATTAAAGTACAAAATTTCAAATGTGACTTTATTTAAAAATATTTAAATTAACTATTCTATGTGTTTACACATCTAAATAGACATTTTTCATCACGTACGCGTACCTTGGAATTTTTTTTGCCAAGAATGTCTCGTGTTACTTGCCTTTTAAAAAAATTTACCAATTCATTTCGAAGTCAAGTGCTTGTGACCTAGAAATCTTATGCCTAAATAGACATTTTCCATCAACTAAGCTCCCGTTTGGCCCTCATTTTTTAGAAATGAAAATGGGTGAAAAAACGCTTTTTTTTTTTTTGAAAAATAAGTGGTTGAAAAAGAAAGAAAAGTTTTTATTTTACGTGTAATATTATTTTATAGAAGATTATGTGATTGAAATAGGAGAAAGAAAAATCGAACGTATTGAAATTTAATTTTAATAAGATTCAAACAGGACCTAAGAATACCACACACATAATTTTAAAAGGACGAAAACATTAATGCCACCAATAGAAGGTTAAGGATTTGATTGTCCCACTGACTAAAGGTTGGGCTCCTAGAGCAATATACCCAATTTTCACCTGCGATTTTCAATAGAAATCGCTACATCGAAGAAGAAAACGTGTTTTATCCCATTATTTAATATTATAATTTTTGAATTTTTTTGTTTTTTTAAAAGAATGTATAGTTAAAAAATGTGAGAAAATTTTGAATTTAGTTAGAGTATTATTACTATATTATATCGATGGGAAGCAGAGAAAAATTGATTATAATTTTAATGCTGGCAAATTGCCTCTTAATTATCGCTTTTTGGATCGGATTAAAATTTAATTAACAATTAATTTCAATCGATCACATAATATTTTAATCACATATTTTGTCATCTGTACCACCACCTAGATTTAGCGCATCGCTCGCTCGCTCGCTCGCGCTCACACACTCATTCACGCACTCACTTCACTCCAACTCGCAATTAATTCCAAAGGTTTGGATCTATTAGCATCATTTCAAAAAATGAGAAGGTACTCTTCGAAACTCTGTTTACAAATATATATTAATTTTGAATGAATCTGTATCGAGACTTGGTTTGGATCTGCTAACGGAAATTTTCATTTCTGCAGCCGAGCTGGACACAGGCACCAGCTGAAGAAATCAGGTGTTAAGGCCATGTTTGGCAGGCTCTCGATTGCTGTAATTGTACTGGTGATCTGTGTAATCTCGTTATTATCCACTATAAAGAGTACCTCTAGATCTTTCTCTCAATCGGAGGTCAGTTTTTTTGTTTTACATTTAAATAAAATTTGATTTTCGCATAATATTTTCATTTTAAAATTTTTGAATTAAATGAATCGCCATTTAATTAAGGGAATTATTTTTTATTTTATGTTCTTGCGAGCAGTTAAGAAATCGATTAACTGCATAAAATGATTAGAAATGTGGAAATTACTAATGGAAAGTGGAAAACTTGGTGAAATTAAGGAATTGACAACCTTGGTTCTAGAGTTCGTTAAATAAATAATCAAGTTAGTTAATTTGTATTTTATGAAAGAAGAAGACCAATTTCTGGACTTCTCACCTGAACGTCAGTTCTGGTCTATGTTTGTTTGTTATTCCTGGCCTCAGGGCTTCCCATCTCGTCATTTAAATGTTTGTATATGTTTATCTTTTATCATGTCCAAGCAGATAAAAGTGGATAATCTTTGGAACACTGCATCTTCTGGTGAATGGAGGCCATCATCTGCTCCACGGACTGCTTGGCCTCGTATGCATTTTGTAGCATTTGACATTTATGCTTATTTAGATTGATTAATGGTTCATTTTGAATGTCTATTTATATCGGTTGTGCTTGTTGTAATGGACTGCAATTTCGTTATAAGAATGTAAATTTATTTCGTATGTACGCTGCCGCACTTATTTAGATTTATTGATAGTTTCGTGTAAATTTCCACGTGTAGCTCCTTCGAAGGGAACCAATGGGTACTTGCGTGTTCGTTGTAATGGTGGCCTCAATCAGCAACGCAGTGCAGTAAGTAATGAGATCTAGTTATGACGTAGTCATATCACTCACATTCTTCTTTACTAATTCCTTTTGCTAGTTTTACTTGATTCTTTTGCTCTCTTTAGACTTAGGGCAATCTTTTCGAAGTTTTTGTATCTCGTGATTCTTGAATTTCCCCTAGGACTTAATCTGGGACCAGCTTTACTATTGAAATAATTACTGTTAATGGTGGCGCATTCATTGCCTTTGTGCTTTGGATTTGATATAAATGCCAGGGGATAATTTTAGAAAAGGTTTAGTTCTGGCTCCCATCGGGATTTCTTGCATTATATAGGAATAAGTATCAATCTAAATATGGTAAGTGTAATTACAACCTAAATATAATTATATATAGAGTTATATTAAACGAGCAATGTTCAATAAGTTGTAATCTTCATCAATCTCCTTGATCTCTATTAATCTCATTAACAAGTTCCTGTTCATTTGAATTTGAGAGTTAAGTCAACAGCGTTCCTTCGTTATTTAGTATAGTTATTCATGATAGGGTTTTGCCAAGCACTTTGCATGTGGACAAATTTGATTTCTGTACTTGAGTTCGTTTGGTGTTGATAATTTTTACATTTACTTTTCTTTTTTTTTTTTCCTCATCCCATTTTCACAATTAATATATGTTTGCCTGCTCCTATGGGATGCACCTCCTGAAGCAGGTGACATGTTGTTCGGCTCTCAATGTGCATGACCATGAAAAATTATATGGTCTTATAGAAACCTATAATTATAAAAAGAAGTGTAATAATACTTAGGTTTTCCTTTACTCCTGCCCCTTTCTCTAAGTTCATGGAAATTGCCAGAATGGAGCTGTTTCCATACTCCCCCTGCTTTTTTCTTTCTCGATGGGGGCGTATCAGCAGCTACTTCAAACCAAATTTTACTCAACACCAAATGATGCCAGAAGTGTATTTAATTATTTTTTTGATACGTGGGAGATTTATGCTGTGAATATAAACAACATCATTTAATACATGCTAACCTATATAACAGCATTTAAATTATAACTCCGTTCTCTTTCATCATTCACCTGTCAAAACAGACTCTTTTGTTGTTTCTTATGCACATATTCCATGTCTTAGACTTCCAGAAAGCTTCTCACGTGGGATGGAAGAGAAAGAAGGCATCTTTAGCAAGCCCTCTATGTGTCTTTTAGGGTATAATTAGAATCTTGAGAAATATACACTTATTGTAGCCTAATGATCAGCAGCCTTGTGTCATAACAACAGCATCTCTCTCTGTGCATTTTTTGTCTGCACTTGCTGTTGCTTTACAAATGGTATATTTATTGCTTTATTAGCTGGACCACTTCAAATATTTGTTTATTCTTTTCCAATTGGCATCTCATTTTGACACCTCTTCAGATTGGATCAAAAGAATAAAAATGCAAAACACACGTTGGTTTCATTATGCTCATTATACTACTACAAAGTCGTCAACTTAACATTTTCTACTCATTCATTTGGGCGTCTCAAATTTGGTGTGCTCCATATGATATAAGAGGGGTTTCATTATTTCCTAGATCTGTAACGCTGTTCTTGCTGCACGAATTATGAATGCTACACTTTTGCTGCCCGAGTTGGATGCCAATTCCTTCTGGCGTGATGACAGGTTACTTCCAAACCACTGCATGATAATTTTACATAATCAGCCTATTTTAATTTGAATATCTGGATATTTAGTTTTTGAACGTTCTGTAACCTAATATTTTAAGCAGGTTTGTTCTTTGATCCAATATTTACTAATGCGTCTGGTTTACGAAATACAGAGTTCATTATTTCTTGCTGAATTGTGTGCAATTGGTTAAGATATTAAGTGCTTATTTTTATTGTGCTTAGTGGTTTCCGTGGAATCTACGATGTTGAGCATTTTATAAAATCATTGAGGTACGATGTAAAAATTGTGGAAAGAATTCCTGAAATCCATAAGAATGGGAAGATCAAGAAGATAAAAGCTTTTCAGGTGAAGTGTATTATCATTGGTGATGTTCTTCAGATATTATTTCCAGTCCCAACAAATTTTAATACAAACGTGTTCCATTCTCAGATTCGGCCTCCTAGAGATGCTCCCATCAGTTGGTACACAACATTTGCTTTAGAGAAGATGAAAGAGCATGGTGCCATTTATCTTACCCCTTTTTCACATCGCCTGGCTGAAGAAATTGACAATCCTGAGTATCAGCGGCTAAGATGCAGAGTGAACTATCACGCCTTAAGATTTAAACCACATATTATAGAGCTTAGTAACTCAATAGTCAATAGACTTCGTGCTCAAGGTCACTTCATGGCTATACATCTTCGTTTTGAGATGGATATGCTTGCATTTGCTGGGTAAGTATATACCTGTTTATGTTAGCAAATTGAGAAGCCCAAGAAAAAAGGAAAAAACAAAAGAAAAGAAGAGAGAAGAAAAAGGATAGAGAATTCCACAAGTAACTGACGAAGCTAGAAGAGATGTTTATGATTATATCATCTCTTTCCTTTCTATCTTTCCCTTTTCTTCGGGTGTTTGGGCGCAGCTCGCCTAGAGTGATTGCTCAATCCTTCGGTCAAGCTTTTGGCCCTTGCTTGCACTGCAAGAAGAGGATAACAGTAATTTTCTTAATAGGAATTTTATGAAATGAGCGCCAAAAGGGGCATAGTACAAGCACACATAAGGCAAGAAAATAATCCAAAAATATATGTCAGGAAAAGCAAAAATACTCCAGTAATGTTTTGGAGAGCCCAAATCCTGTATCTGCACAACAATGTGCAAAAATGGTCAGCAAGTGGAAATTTATAGAAGACAATAAGATAACAGATTTTATTTTACCGTGGATTTGAAGCTGTGCATTATCTGATATGAAGTTTTTCAGGTGCTTTGATATATTTACCCGTGAAGAACAGAAAATTTTGAAGAAATATCGAGAGGAAAATTTTGCTGCAAAGAAACTTGTTTATAGTGAAAGAAGGGCTATTGGAAAATGCCCACTAACTCCAGAAGAGGTAGTTTTTATTTTTTAAATTTGGTTTTAGTAAATAGTCAAGATCTTTTATATCTTTTGTGCAACAGTACGTATTGATCTAAACAAAATGTTTTGTTATCTGTAGGAAAATGATGTTCTTAGTTGCAACTAGTATCTTGACTAGTTAATGGTTGCTTAAATACTGATCTTTCAGGATATTGAAGGCAATGTCTTGATTCCATGAAATTTTTGGAGGGAAATCTCTTTAATTGCTTTTCGTTTTTCTGAGGTTTGATCGCTTTAGTCCTGCCACTTTGCATCATTAGTGCTGAAGTGTGTCCCGGAAATATCTGAAAGTAGAGGTTCCTTTCTTAAACATGTTGCATAAAAATTAGGCTTTTAAGTATCTGAGAAAGATTAAAAAATAACATTTTGATTTTTTACTTCTTTTTACTTTCCCACTTGACCACCAAAATATGAAAAAGACGAAAAGAAGTTTATGATGCAGGGAAGTTAAAAAATCAGCATTCTAAGAGATAAGTGAGCGGAACCTAATACTCAATAGTACCTAGTGTTTAAATAAAGAGCACCCAGGTCAGCTCTTCCTTAAGAGAATTTAAATAACTAGAGTAAACAAAGTTAAGCTCTCATTTGACACCCTTTAAAATTTTAATACATTTTTCTCTCTCTTCTTTTCAACCATACATCAATAAAAGAATATTATATGTAAATAAAAAAAAAATTCCTTCTTTTTTAACCACGCATTCTCCAAAAAATACTATACCATAATACATTTTACCAACATTTCTCATTATAAATGTGTGTCAAACAAGGACTAAGTAAAGATTTTGGCAGGCCAATGAGATATTTAGGAGCAGGGACGGTTCAAGGATTTGATTCAAGATCGGGCTAAAAAATTTCAAACTGGGCTACTATGCTGGGGAGAAAAGATAAACTTACACTTAAAAAACTGAATTTTTACCCCAAAAAAAAAAATACCTTTAAAAAAATGTTCTTGGGCCTGAGTTGGGGGGCGGGGGGGGGGGGGGGAAAAAAACCCCCCCCCCCCCCCCCCAAAAAAAAAAAAAAAAAGGTATGTGCCATCACTAGTAAAATGTAAATATTCTATCGGGTGGGGGGGGGGGGGGGGGGGGGGAAAACCCCCCCCCCCCCCCCCCCCAAAAAAAAAAAAAAAAAAATCCAACTCTGTTTAGGAGGCCTCATAAGTTTTCCCGCATGACCTTAGGAGGGAATTTTATGTTGTTTGAAGGCACCACTTCTATTTTCCCTTTATTTTGAATAAAAGACGGAATATGGTGACGTTGAGAAATTATATTTCCATTTGTATACCTTGTCTGGAATTATAATTAGCCTGGAAATAGCCTCTGCATCTTGGATGTTCCAGAATGTGGAACTGTATCTTATTCGTAATGATTTCAGTGGGAGAAATTCAATTTTTCTGCATTTTGTTCAATACCAACTCTTCCAATTTTCTGCAAGCAGTTTCAATGAATTATAAAGATGCTTAATTTATTATACCAATTTGCTGCAGGTAGGTCTCATCTTACGATCAATGGGGTTTGATAATTCTACCAGGATATATCTAGCAGCTGGTGAGCTATTTGGAGTTGATCGATTTATGAAACCTTTTCGCTCCTTGTTTCCTCGGCTTGAGAATCATAGTACAGTAGACACCACTGGCGAGCTGGCGAAGAATACACATGGCTTGTTGGGCTCTGCCGTGGATTACATGGTTTGTCTCCTCGCGGACATTTTCATGCCCACATATGATGGGCCAAGCAACTTTGCGAATAATCTCCTTGGCCACCGCCTCTATTATGGTTTCCGTACAACCATTCGGCCTGATAGAAAAGCTCTTGCCCCTATCTTTATTGATCGCGAGAAGGGGCAGACCACAGATTTTGAAGAAGCTGTTAGACAAGTGATGCTAAGCACAAGTTTTGGTGGGCCTCACAAGCGTTTGCCACCTGAATCATTCTATACAAATTCCTGGCCTGAGTGCTTTTGCCAGATGTCGGCGATGAATCCTGCAGATAAATGTCCACCAGGCAATGTTTTGGATATCTTAGACAGCCAGTTGGCAACAGAAAGGATTGATGACTCAGAATCGATTGCGTCAAATTTTACTTCTGATGTAGATAAGTAGGATATTGATGGAAACATATATGGGATCCTCTACAGTTCCAAGAGCTGCAATATCTAGTTGCCAAACTCAACCAACAAGTAGTGGTTGCCATCTAATTCGGCTGTGCAGGTACCCCTCTGTTCCCTATACTTTTTTTGCATCTCTGTTGAAGTGATTTCTTTTTGTAGTATTTCCGCCAGTCATATCATGATAGATTAATAGTTATGCCAATATTAGTGCTTGTTTTGAAGTGCTTATAAGCTTGTTTGGTTAAAAAGTATGTTTGACAATCTTAAATTGTAATCTAAGTTTCGGCAATCATGCTCTTAAGCTTAATCCTGAAAGAGATGAACTTTTGATTTTAGAATAGAAAATAACTTAATGGGTTTAAGCTCTCGAAGTTTTGCTTGGGTCAAACTCAAATGATAAACAAATAATAGTTAATTAGCTATTAAATAATCTTTTGGAAAATGTTATCATGTAACCAGAAAATTTGCAGTCTGGTTACTGCTATCCCGTTCAAGTGGTGAAAATTTAAGTCGAAAATTGTTCTTCCAATGCTTTCCACAGGACCAGCAAACGTTTTTACTCTTTATTCATTGCAATTTTCATTGGGCAATTTTGTAGTTTTGTTAGTCCTGTCTGAGCCAGTTACTACCTACAAATGTTTTGATTATTTTCCTGCAAAGTTTACGCTTGATTTCTCAAACTCAGAATTCAATTTTTTTGTAGCCGCCCCTGCCAGCTGGTTTTTAACCATTTTTTTTTTCTCAGTATTTCCCTGCAATGTTTGCATTTGATTTCTGAAGCTTAGAAGATACATCTTTGTCTATTTTTGTGTCCAATGACCCACCCCCGGGGATTGTCCCTCCTGCTTCTTTTACTGCTGCAAAGGCTTCCATAATGCATATTTGTCGCATATACATGACTACTTGTCCAGGGTAACTTTTTCATATAAAGAGAGCAGTTGATAAGGTGGTTGCAAGATAGTATCTCTCACAGTTTCTGGCCAGTATGAAGATTTAGGGAGTGTTTGAGCCACATTATTTGATAATAATGCATTCTTGAATAGTGAATTGATGAAAAATGTGTGGTTAAAAAATAAAAAAAAGTTTTTGATTTGCGTGTAATATTATTTTATTGAAAAATGTGTAGTTGAAATAATGTCAAATCACTGTTTAAGAATGCATTTTTTTGAATAATGTGGCTCAAACAGGCCGATAGTAATGAAAAGTAAAAATGAGGATCTACTGTCATTTTTAATTACACGCTGTGCACATGCACGCCTGAACACACACTAAATTGTCACCACGACACAACCTCGTAGTTTAGTTAGAGATTTTCTTGAATGCTTTTTGCTTTTCCTGCAGCGTTACTTCTTGGCTAACTACTGAATGTTATATTCTAATTGTTACAACCAGTATCTAGAGATTCATTTCTCAAATTCATTTCCCTTTTTCTGCACTGTTACATCTTATCTAACTATTAAACATTATGTTCTTGTTCTCGACTTCTTGTTGACGTAGTTACTGGGAGAAATAACAAACAAGCACTACCAGCAGTTTGTTTGGAAGTGGACCACATTGACTCACAGAACAACAATTTCACTGAATGACAGGGACAACTTATAAACGTACTTCGGTTCACTTGAATTGACTGACATATTCAAATACTGGAGTATAATGTGTGTAGAAAATGTTGTCGAATGAGCATAACCGCTTCTTAGTATTGAGCAAAAGTTTGGGTAAAGAAAGGGTTTTGAACCCCAAGTCTACCCTGATTTCCAGCGTGTATGGTCACAAGACTGGTTTTTGCTTTAGGGAGAGCTTTAATCGTTAGTGAAGAAATTGTTATTTTTTTTGTGTGGATCTATATTTTTATGTAAAAATGAGAAACAAATGCCTCCAAATTCAAAAATGGCTAATAAAGGGAGGTTCATTAGAATTAAAGCTTAAAATGGAAAAAGGAAGAAATCAATCTTGTCATGGCTCAAAATCAAGAAAACCTTGAAGAATGTGAATCAACCACAAAATGCATAGCTTGAAAAGCTACAAAACAGATTATCACGTGTCCAAAAGTGGTAGTAAAAATCTGAACAAGGATATAGCCTAAGCAAAAGATTCGCCTCTTGATCCATGCTGAATATCAGAAACAAATGTTACTAAATTCCAAATTTCGATCATATTCAAACACAATCTCGATGGTCTCCGAGCACCTTGGGAGCATTGAAATTTTCTTGCTAGTTGATGTCGACAAGTCTGAATTCGGTCGTCCCATCCCCGCGATTTTCATTCTTTTCAAAACTTTTCCATTCTCTAACAAGTACTTCACCAGCTCCAAGTCATGTTCAGACCCAATGAATTGTTTAAATTCAATATTCCTGAGGTGCTCAGACAAACACATGGGCACAGTTTCTGGAATTGTATAGACAACCTCAGCTTCATCGTCGTAGCCATGCTGTTGAGGAAAGAATTAGAACATTAGATTACGAATTTCTAATCCTCGACTTCTTACTCTAGAAACTACTCGATAAAGCTGACCTTATGAATAACAAGCTCTTCGAGTCGAGGTGCAATTTCAAGTACGTTTGGCAGCATTCGAAGGTCAAAAGAACTGATCTCGTCAAAGTTTCGAACACAGGCATTGAAGAACAATTAGAGTACATGACCTTCAATCAAAGAAGGGAAAATACCAAAGAAAATATATGAGTAAAAAATTTTGCATTTAACTACTGAGAAGATACTGAAACTTATGTTTTTACCTCAAGAGCACCATCTGATAAGTAGAGTGACTTGACTCCATGCATCTTGTTGAAAAGCTCAGATACATTTTCCCAATTTTTGACCTTTGTAATGAAGGAAATTTTCCCTCGAACAAGAGAGTTTAGATTATTCACCAAGTGGAATTCATTTTCATGACCATGATACTCAAAAAACTCCAGATTTGGCGTATCAATGATAAGTTTACATTTCGAATTACTATCATCAAAAAAATCCATGAAATTCCCATCACCATAATCGATAGAAAGTTTTCTAAGCAAGGGAAATGAAAGATTGAGAACTTTGTTATTCCCAAAGGAGCACCTGGATAGACACAGCTCTTGAAGAAACTTACAACCCCGAAATAATCTGCTCATCGAGCGATCACCGTCTAACATAAAATCTGTCAAGTGCAGCACCTTTAGATTAGGTAAACTGACAGATTCCCAGACATATAATTCCACAACTGCTCTTAGTTTCAAGACAACCAGTGAGTTACATATGAAAAGTTCAAGCGGTAAAATCCCTACAGTCGTGCTATCTCCCATCCAAAGAACAATCTCTTTAACCTTGCAACAGATTGCAGCACATACTATATCACCGATTGTGGAATCCTCGATGAAATTGCTTTTGAGGCGAAATTGATTGATATTAGGTACGTTTCGTTGCAAAATTTGCCTACATGCAAACTTTTCAAATGCCTTCTCAACATTCTTTTTCCTTTTCTTGAAAGTTAAAGAATCATCAAGGACTATGTTAGGGAGAGAAATGCAGAGGTCCTTCCATCTAGTCAGGGCCGGTCCTGGGCCGAGGCGAATGAGGCCAGTGCCTCAGGGCCCAGGACCGTAGGGGGCCCATAATTTTGGGCCTTTTTTTTTTTTTTTTTTTTTTTTTTTTTATAAACCCTCCCAGCGCAATAAGTGTAACCCACAAAAAATGGGAACCCAAATCCAAAATCAGAGTCGAAGCCCTCGCCGTGCGTTCCCCGTCTCCGACTCTCACAATCTCACTCCGTCTGCAGTCTGCAGACTCTCCCACCACAGACAAGACGACCACGGGCACGGAGTCACGGACAACCACACTGCACAGCAGATCCAATTCCAGAGCTAGAGGGCAGCCCGCAGCCGGCAGAGGTATATTCTTGCTTGGTCGAACTCGAACACTCGAAATCTCAAATCGAACTATTTTAGGTTTAATACTAGCGCACTGATAAATTATATCAACTATTTTAGGTTTAATACTAGTCTCGAAACTCGAATCGAAATCTGTTCTTGAGTTACGCCGCGTGAAGCACTGAACTGACTGAAGCACTGTGAATCCATCAAACCAAAGAGGTACTCATTTTGTTTTTGTTATTCTTTTGGTCGATCATAATATCATATTGGAACAAAAATTACAAAATGTTTCGATTACTTACAGAGATTAAAGAGACGATGAAACTTATTGGAAATCGCAAGAAAATTTTAAGGATTAGAATTATATAATTTACAATTTAGATTCGTTGTTTCTAATTTCTACATTTGTTTTTTGCTTGTTAATTAGGATCGGATTTTTGAGGAGGAATTTAGAACAGCGGATGTATATAACTCTCGGACCAGAGATATAGTTGCTGCTGCAGTTCGTGGCTTTAATGGTATGAGATAAGTTTTATTAAGTTGACTTATGTGCTGCACGGTTGTTATAATCTGGGCATTTAGATTTTTTTTTATCCTTTTTGTGTTATTTTTATTTGGATAATTACATAAAAACATCAATAGGATTTCAGCCTTTAGAAGGATAACTAAATGGCTGATAAAGTTCCAATACTTTTAACTGCCAATACGGATATGGCAGAGAAAGAAATAAAAGGTCACCAAATGATATAGACAAAGGTTTTTAGTATTACTATCAAAAAAATAAGAGAAGTCATCAAAAATGATATAGACAAAGGTTTATCTTGAACGACGTGCCTCATCGTCTTTTATATTTATGTAAGTCAATTGAGGTAAATAAGTCAAATTCCTTTTCACTTATCCCAACGACGACCTTAGCTTCCAACGAGATTGAAGGTTTTAGAATATGACATTCTCTCTTTTGTGTTGCTTTCATTACAGATTTCCTGTTATAGCCTATTTGCAGCAAATATGATGGTTTGAAGTAGTTGGTGTGGTGAAGTTCCCTTTCAATCCAGATATATATACAACTGTGATTCTGGTAATAATATGCCTTTATTGTATCTCAATGTGGTTAGAATAATGTATCATAATTTGGATACCTTCTTACACTGGATAAGTTAAAGTATCATAATTTTATATAATTTTTTATTTCAGGCTTGTGAGTTGTGACGGGATCAGGGTGTAATTCCACAATTTTCATCCAAATTTCACTTCTCAGGTAAGTAATGGCTTGCCCTAACTTTTTATTGAAGAGATTGTAAATGTTTGAAGCCTTGCCGGCTTATATAATTGTAGCCTTGCCGGCTTATATGATTGCTATTATTGGCCTATCTCCATCTGCAATAGTCACCCAACGAACAAACAAAATACACATTTTTTATTAAATAATTGAACCAGGAATTACTGGACTATTCGAACACTGAACTGCATATAGTTATATTTATGAAGCATGAAAAAGAAATAAAAATAAGAACAATTTTACACCATCTTTTTAGTTATAAGATGAACAAGGGATTAGAATATTAAGAGAACAAGGACCACTAAAAGAGGAGAAGATAAATCACAAGAACTCAAAATGGACAAGCACATACTGAAAAAGGAAAAAATAGTGTCAAAGACATAAAAAGGCGAGCATAACTGTTTAAACTATATCGAAAATTTTGGATGATTACCAGAGCTACCAAATGCCATATGGATCTCCAAATTTAGCAAATGGACGATGTCTACAAGCTTCTCCATTACCTTAACATAAAGAAACATAACATAAATTAGCTTGGTTGCAGAATAAAGATTTATAGTGACAACAAACAAGTAAAAATTCATTCTACAGAACATAACCTTGTCTCCAGTTGCATGTAAAAATTAAAAGTCA